CGGGCGGCCTTCGACGGCGGCGGCGGCGGCGGCGAGGCCGCGTGCTCCCCCGAGGGCGCGGGCGCCCGCGGCCCCGCGGCTCACCAGCCCCACCTGCTGGAGGGGCCGCCGCGCGGCAAGGGCGCGTCGTCCTACCACCACTCCAGCGCCTTCCGCCCGGTGGGGGGCAAGGAGGACTCGGAGAGCCTGGCCAAGCTGCACCACCACCACCAGCCGCCGCGCGCCGCCGCCTCGCCGCCGCCGCCGCCGCCGCTGCTGCTGGCCCCCGAGCGGGACCCGGGCGGCGGCGAGCGGGCGGGCCACCGCCTCCTCTCCCCGGGGGGCACCAGCTGCAGCTACCCCAGCGAGGACAGCAGTGAGGAGGAGGACGAGGACGAGGAGGACGAGGAGGAGGAGCCCGAGGTGGACGTCGAGAGCCACAGGCCCCCCGGGGAGGAGGAGGACGAGGAGGAGGACGAGGACGCGGAGGACGCCGAGGCGGAGCGGGCGGGCGCCGAGGCCGTGGACCCCGTGGGGGCGCCCAGCCGGTACCTCCAGAGCCGGGGACTAACGGACAAGGGGGCCGCCCGGGACAGGTCGAGCGGCGGCGGCGGCGGCGGCGCCGCGCTTGCGCCCCCGGCCGGGCCGTTCCCCGCCGCCTCCTGCAGGCCGTCCCCGGAGGAGGAGAAGACGGCCCCCCCCGGCGCCGAGCACCTGCTCCCGCCCGCCCCCGCTCTGCCCGCCTGCCCCCCAAAGGCGGGGAGCAGCGGCACCAGCAGCCCGGCTCAGCACCTGGCAGAAGAGGAGCCGCCGCCCCCGTACAAAGATGTAAATACCGCCGTGCGCCCCCCCCCCCGCTCCGCCACGCCCATTATCTTCATTGAAATGCACCTCTCGGCTGAGTCCCCCCCGGGCGGGGGGGGCAAAGAGGGATCGGGGAGACCCCCCCCCCACCCCGCCGAAGGGAAATCACCAGGCTCCCTTTCCATGCTGGGGGGAGGGGTGCAGGGGGGCCGCGTTGCTCTCCTCCTGCCAGCCGGTTGCTCGCGTCGGTTTCCGGCCAGACGGCAAAACCCGACCGGCGCCCCTCCTGGCCTGCCCCCGCAACCCCTTCTCCGAGCGAGGGGACGGGAGGGGTCCAGAGGACGGGGCCGCGCATCGATGTTCACGGTTGTTACCTGATGCTAGCCCTGCTTGGTAGGCCCGTTGAAGTGGATGGGAGCGCAGCCCGTGCATTTCAGTACCATGCCTAAGGCCGCAGGAGGCTGCTCATGCCTCTCTTCGAGGGGGTTTAAGACGTGCTGTGGTGAGGGTCCTTCCCTGATCCTGTGACTTCCAGGTGGTCCTAGAGAGCCCGGCATCTCCTTTCATCTCCCTGCCCCCTTCCTCAAGACTTTATCCCATGGAGGAACTAAATGTGTGCCTAGATTCCTCCCTAGGACTCAATGGGATGTCGGAGGACTTAGAGCGAGCCTCACCCATTACCTACACAGGAAGCCTTTGCTGGAGTCCATGAGAGATTGCCCCAGCATGTCACTGAGTCCAGACAACACCATAACCCGTGCTCAAGGGTTGAGTGTGCCCTGAGAGTGCAGTGTCAAAACCTGCTGTCAAAACATGGCTACACTAACAAACCATGGCTTATTCATCACAAACAAACCATGCATTTACTTCATGGGTTGTTCGTGGGCAACCAACCATCCTTGGTTAGCACAGCTAGAGTTAGACCCCAGATGAGCCGCTTTCCAGCGAAAAGCCTCCGTTCAACAGTCCACGGTCAACCAGACTGAGCCGCTTGAGTGTGGAGCATTGAACGGTCTGAGTCCTGCCCCTGCTTGACAGACAATCCCAAACAGGGAGAGATGCACTTCAAAGGCAAACACGCCACCCTCCGATTCAGCAGACCTGCTGCCCTCTTCGGTTGTGAATCAGCATTTGTACCCCACGTGGATCTTGTGTGGCAGAGAAATCTTTTCTTAACTAGGCACAAGCCCCACTGAACATGATGGGATGTACTGCTGCAGGAGATTTCGCAGCTTGGGCTGTAGTCCAATGCATCCTTGTCTGAGAGAAAAACACACACCAGAAAGAGGTGGACTATCCTAAACACAGCATCCTCTCCAATTTCTCCAATCAAACATGTCCCTCTGACCTCATCAGGGCTACCCCATGTTCTCCTCTGGGTGTGAATTCTGAGGGTCACCAACGCAACTGGGTTCATAGTTTCGGCACGCATTTCTTGGGTGTTTCTAGTTTTTTAAGAACTGGCAAACCAGAAACATCTGCAATTATGCATCAGCTCCCCACTCTTTAATCTCCAACTCATGAGTGTCAGATGAGCTTAACAGACCTGGGTTCTAGTCCACGCTCAGCCCTGAAGCTCCCTGCGTGAGTCTGGGCCAGTGGCAGGGTCTGAGCCTAACCTGCCTCGTGGGATCGTTATTGTGAGGATAACATCGTCAGGGGAACGTTATAAACTGCTTTGGGTTCCTTGCACGAGAAAGACAGGCAGGGCCATGATGATCATGCTTGGCTGGGTTTCTAAGTGGTATAATGTTTTGTAAGGTTGTTTTTAAAAAGCGGGACAGAGAAAAATTAAGGGGCAGGTCCCCATCCCACTCTCAGACAGACGAGAAAGCTAGTCTGTCAGGGGCAACACTAGCCTGAAATGCTTCTTCCTGAACTACTAAGTGACGATGCTATTGGCATTAAACACCCACCATAGAGTAGAACCGGGAAACAGGATTCCCAGCACCCTGTTGCCTGTGAGAGTCACCTCAGGCAGAGATGGACGATCTACTGGAAAAATCAGCAAGTGATTTCAATAGATCAGCCAGGATTTCTGACCCCCAGTAGCTGAACAACAGCAACAACAGAAAGCCTTTCTTGCATCCTAAATTAAGTTGCTGAGGGTGACTGTTAGGTGTGTGTGTGAGAGAGAGAGAGAGAGGATTGTGGAAGATACAGAAAATAAATTCCTGAGCTGAGCATATACACTCGGGGACGCTTTATTCCTCAGTTCCATGTTTGCAGTCCTCATCCACTCTTTGGTGCCTGGTTCAAGTTGCAGGACTTCAAGGTTCTAGCAAAGGACAAGATAGATAGCACACCTCTTGAGACTGCCCAGCTTTGCCCCACCAACAGCATTTAGACTCCAAGAGGCCCATCTAGCCCGAGTTCCATCCATGAAATGCCATGTCAGGTTCTGGCCAACACATCCAACAAAGGATACACGACATACCCGTGGTGGGCATGTCGGGAGCGGAGCCGGCTGGAGCCGGGGGTCAGACTAGATGGCCCGGGAGGCCCCTTTTGGCTCGCTCTGTTTCTATGTTACTGTAGAACTGGCAAGAGGGGCAGGGAAAGGGAATCCAGAAGTCTGCATCAGCTTGCTCTAGGAAGCACAACTGGAGCGGTTTGGACTGCTGCTTTTCTGGGGCACGTGTGGGGCAAGGGTTTATATATTATTGTATGGTGTGGAAAAACTGGTGAGCAAGAAGCTTCTCTGCCTTTCTCATGGAGTGTTTCCAGGCTTGGGCTCTAATGTTTTAAGTTTAATGTAAGTCCCATGCGTTACTCCGGGTCCTTCTAAGCATGGTTAGCACTGGAAACAGCCTCTGGCTTCGGGAGAGCGATTGCCCTTCCTCAGACGCTGGGGATTTTGTCTCATGTTACTCCCACTTAGAGTCGTCCCGCTGAGACGAGCAGGGGTGATTCGGGGCTGCCTCCGGTGTCACTTCTCCGTGGACTAACCCTGAAATGAATCGGCCTGTTTCAAGTAGGATTAACACTGGATACCATCTTTGCTTCCGCCACCCAGGGTCCAAAGGTCTTCCATTTGTAACCCCCCCAGGGATTCTCACTGTTTCCTCCATTTCCCCAGCACATTAAGGAGGAAAACTCGGAGCAGATGCCCCGTGCCTTTTGATGGGTAGCGCTGCCATCCGTCCGTCCACGGGAAGCACCAGCAGCGCTAGAAAAATACGAGGCCATCTAGGATAGACCAGAGGAAATGCTTGTCGGACCGAGCGTGCCTCTTTCACGCGGTGTAACGATGCCCGCCCGCCAGGGTGGTTCTGCAGAGCCGATTGCTGGAGCAAATTCCGTGGGAGGTGCTCGTCCGGAAGGCCAAATGAACAGCCCCTGGCTTCAGAGGCACTCTTGTCTCTGAGGGTTTAGACCTCAGAGCTTTAGACCCCGGGCTTAATATTTTTCCAGACTTCCCTCTTGTAATGTTCCTGGAGGCAGTCGCAGTTCTGACGCAGAGAGAGACCGTTGCTCCTGCACGCCTGATTTCATGCCATATAACTGCTTCAATGTCTGTGATATATTAGCGCAGGGGTAGGCGGAAGAGGGACCGCTGGCTATTCTGGACTCCAGTTCCCAGGTGCCCCCGCCAGCATGGCCAATGGTGAGGAATGCCGGGAGCTGAAGGCGAGAAGACGTGGGGAACTTTTTCTGCCCATCCTTGCAAATTATTATCGCATTTATACCTCAGCTTGCATAGTTCTTCTCTCCGGTTTATCTGCACAACAACAACCCTGTGAGGTAGGACAAGCTGAGAGTCTGACTGGCCCAAAGTCACCCAGTGGGCTCCACAGCTCAGCACAGACTGCACCCTGGAGCTCCCAAAACTACAGTCCAACACTCTAACCACTACACCACACTGGATCTCAGTGCAAAGGAAGAAAGGGAGGTGGAACACTGTTCTGATAACCCCAGCAACTTGAAAGCTCTTCTGTCATGACTAGAGGGATTAAAATGGAGTTGCTTCTGCTGCCTGGATGCCAGGCAAAATTAGGGTGCCTTTTGAGCACGTTTAGACAGAAAAAGTGCAGACTGGAAATGCTGGAGGTGTCAGGGCACTTGTCTGTCAAAGCACCCTTCCTTACAAACAGGCTCCATTTTGTGCTAGAAATACTGAATTTGTCATTTGGAATAAGAAAAGGGATGCTCTGGCAGGCACCGCCATCGCGATTGTTCCCCGCTGCTTTTCATCCCCTGTTGCTCTCCTGGGAGTCCACCCTGCTTCTCCAGAACTGTAGGGCCCTGGATTTTCCCAAAAGTCCAGCCCTGCTGGCATCCTCAGTTCCATTGTCTTCCCAGTTGTGGGCTTCCCAGATGCAGAGGATCAGCCCGTAGAGAAAAGAAGGAGCGAGACAGACAGGTTCGCTCTGCTTTTCTTACGAACCCGCTGTTGTCTTCAGTGGGCAAATTAAGAGCCCCCTTAAGTTTCTTCTACTCGAAATGCTGGAACGGAGCTGCTGGGTCCTTTCTATGTTTAGTCAGACATAAGCTCCATTGCATTCAATGGGGGTTCATTGCTAGGATGTCTGCAAAAGCTCTTACGTGCTTGTGTGGTTGGTTAGTGTCAGGCCTTTTTACCAGGAAAATGCCCCTCAGGGGACCTTGCCATCATAAACGAGACTGGATTAAAATAGTAACACAAATGCATTCGAACACAATTAGAGGTGCACCAGTAAAGGAATGAAAGGGTCCGAGGCTGTGATCCTAAACACAAATTCACAACTGGGTAATACTTTTATGCACAAAATGGTCCTAATACAGCACTGCCCAACTGCGGATCGGGTTTTTATGCATTGCTATCTTTTTATATCTTTTTAACTTACTTGAGAGTAATTTCCATTGCATTCAATGAACCTTACTGTTCCGAACAGACAGGCAAAGCACTGCTCTGTTAAATGCATTTGCCTGGGATGGGAGAAGTCGGGGGGGAGAGAGATCCCCTTGGCTTGGACAAGTTCCGATGGGCCATTTCAGGCTCTCCTTGAGCAATATTTCCTAAGCACTTCATCACTGGAAGTCCTTAAAAAGTAGCAGCAGGGAATCAATCAGGATCGCTGCCTTTGGTCCAGTCTCGTGTCAGGAAGAAGAGATGCGTTCTTTGCAATCCGATTGGTGCCCTAGCCCAATCCCCTGGAGAACAAGTCCCATTAATTTCAGTGGTGCTTCTATGGGGTAAGATCCCATAGGGCCACAGCCTCCGAGGCTGCATCCGTGTCCGACCAGCCGTATTCGGTTGGATTGAAACGGACCCATTGAAGTCAATAAGCGTTTTCGGAACGCTGCCTCCGAGGTTAGCCTCGCTGTAGCTGCTTTCACGTCGGTAGGCCGACTCTAAGTAGAAGTGACACTGGATACCACCCCATGGAACTGGCGTGAGTCAATGGGTCACACCGTAAGTAGGGCTCGGCCTGTATCCAATGCTCCATGCTCCATCGCGGGCTAAAGGGATGCTTCTCCGGAAAGCGAGCAAATGAAAAATCCGTGTCTGTTTCCCCAGCACCAAGTACATCAGAGGTAAAACTGAGATCGGGAGGCAAATAACACGCAGTGATGGCTGGTGCCGCCAACGTCAGTACCCTCAAATAGTTTCAGGACCATAGATAGCTCCTTTGCGGTGCCGGCTGAAACCCGGGGTGGCTACACCACCGTCCTGACATCGGCCCCGGATTTCCTTAGCTCAGGAGTAGCGCCGGCGGCCCTGCCTATGGTTTTGGATCACAGTTCCCATTATTACTGGCCACTGATGGGCCATGGAGTGCCACCAGTACCCTGCCTCCTAGAAGAGGGGCAGGCTGCCATTTTCAGCGGGCAGCCCAGGGCCAGGAACGGGGTCTACTTCCGAGTAAATCCGAGCGAATGTTCACACCCTCCTTCGGCAGCTTCTTCGCGGCTTTCGACATCCACCGGTTTTGGGGGGGGGGTTTGGGGGGGGAACGAATTTGGCAGGATCGGGGCCAGGGCACGTTTACTCGGAAGTAGGACTCAGGGGTCAAAGCTGCTTCCTGCTGCAGAAAGGTGTGCATCTCGTGCATTCGTTCCAAGTGGGACCCCCTCCCCAAAATAGGATCCCCCTTTGGGAACCCTGCCAATCACCCCCCCCCCACAATAACTCCAGCCCGAGGACGCGGGGCTCCCGCTTGACGCGCCGCCGTCCTGCCCGTTTCTCCCTTTTCTCTATTCTCCTGCCGTCCGCCCTTTCCTGGTAATTGCTCATCGATTGAAGGGGGTTGTTTTAATTCGCGATTGTCTGTTTGTTTGCATCCTTGCAGGTCCAGAAAAGCAAAGAAGGCACCCAGGCCGTCGTATCCGCGAAGGAAAATAAATTCTCAGGCAAGACACACAGGAATTTGGTTATTTTCTCCCTCCTCCCGAAGCTTTCGGTGAAATTGACCGATGCTCCTCTGCGGGCCTAGATCCGGCTGAGAACGTTGTTCCGGAACTTAGTCCCGGGAAAAGCTCAAAGCCATGACACATCATAGAAGGATTTGGGATTATGTGTGTGCCACACGCGCGCACAGAGTAGACCCGATTCAAATATGCTTAAAACAAACGAAGCACGATCTACAGCGATCAAAGCAACCCGTACAATTTAGCAATGCAACAAAACACTTTTTTCCCTTTTAAGCCCAGATCGTTGCATGCTAAATTTTCACTCTCTGCAAAGTTTGCTGGGTTGGAGGAGGAAATTCTCTTGATTCCTCGAAATATTTCATTCTCGTTTTCTTTTCTCGCTTCAATTTTAGATAAGAGCAAAGAACAGACTTTTTTCATCACAGATTCGGAACCTCCGGGGGGAGATTTCTGGAGAAATATCACAGGTAAACTCAGAAAGGAGGGGGGGGGTTGGTGTGTCTACTCAGAAGTAAGCTTTGCTGGGTTTAGTGTAGCGTGTGCCCTAGTTTGTGAGCAAAACACCGCAGCCTCAACATTCCTAATCAAATGACTGAATATTTTGTAGAAGGATAAATAAAATAAAATAAAAACTATCCCAGAGAGATATCATAACTAAGGGAAAATGCAAATTGGGAGGGCCAGGGACGTGTTAATAGCAATAAGATTATTAATTGCTGGGCATATTTCAGCAGGAAATTTCGGGAATATATCAGGTTACACAATGGAGCAAGCTGGTGGGGGAAAAAAACATTAAAATGACAATAATTGAAATGTTCTCTTTGAAACCTTCCATTAAAAAGGATCACAGCTTATTGCATTTAATATCTGTCAGAGAGACATTAAAGGTGTTTTATGAGATCTATGGCAACATTTATATTATCTCCGTGATAATGATCTCTACACAAAATGTATAATACATTGACAAAAATTACATTATACAAATTAAATGGAACCACCTTTTACTGATTGCTAAATGTCTCCAAGGGGTTTGCAGGGGGGGTGGAGGGGGGAGGGAAAGACGTGATTAGAAGTTTTGATACTAAGTTGTCTATTGCCAAGGAGGGTTATAAGGAAAGGGGGTTTTGTTTCTTGGGAGAGAGAGAGAGAGAGGGGAAAAAAGGGAATCTAATTTTCCATTTATGTAATGCAAACTGTCTTGGCTTTGACTATTCACGGTTAATTGACTGTCAAACGAGGTTGTTTGCCTGAGGCTATGTCTGCAAATTTGCCTGTCAAATGAGACAGAGGGAGCTTGGGAGAGGGAGACCGAGAGAAATGCAAGAAGAACGTAAGGCTGCTGAGAAAATGGGATCCTAAAGAAATCTTACAGAAGTGAGTGCCATTCTAAAACTGGTTTCCTCCACTTTTAAAAACCTGCTCCAGGTGGTTCCGCATCTTTGTGCAACCTCCTTCCAAAGATCTTGCAGGAACAGAAAGCACACTTTGAAAGGGGAAAACAATGTCTTTTTAAATAAAGTGAAGAGATGACAAAAAGGGAAATGAACCTTAGTGGGGCCAAGGATAATTTGGCCTGATTATTTCCAGGGTATTGTGGAATGGCTCATCAGGGAGCCAAGTATCAGCAGGACAATTAGGGCTGGACTAAATTATTAAGAAGACTCTAAGTTTCTTGGCTCCTTTTTCTGTGGCATATTTTGATAAATGGAAACACAGGTAAAGATGGAAAACACAGTTCCAGATCCATACATTATGCCAGTGTTGTTCATTGAAGATTGATATTATTGGAGATAGATAGACACACAGAGAGCAAAAAGCCTTGTGGGATCTCAGAAAAGACAGGATGTACTTGGTCGGAGTCCACCAAAGCAATACTTCTGTTTGTCTTTTCTGTTTTTCTGCAACAGATTTTTGCCGCTCCCCCAACTCCCCCAGAATATATCAAATTGTCTTGTGATCTGCTTTCTTGGCTGTCAACCGCAGTATCAAAATAGAGCCTCCAGGTTCAGAGGCAGTGTGCCACTTAATGCTAAATGCTAAGGAGTGGAGGGCTGGGAGACACTGGTGAGTCTCTCAGAGCATCGCTCTGGCTTCCGGGCGAGATGGGACCGTGCTCTGATCAACAGAGCGGTTCATATACCATCCATGGAGGTCGACCCAAGGGCTTGCATGAGCTCAGGGAGATGGTTAGCTTTACCCATCACTTGCCCCTCTCCAGCCCCCCACACCCATCATGCTTGTCACTTTAAGGGTGCAAACCGATGTACATCAAGACAGGAAAAAGCCATGAAGCCTGGTCTTTCCCAGCCAGCAATGACAGGATTTGGCCCTTAGTAGCTGACGGACTTTCCCTGAATCCCCCTCTGCTCCCATTTCCCACAGAAACGCCATCGCCTTCTTTTCCAAGCCAGTTTTCCCCAGTGTGACATGCTACAGATGTTTGGAATTTTTTTAAATTTATAGGATGCTGAGTAACCTGACAGAACCCTCTAGAGATTCCAACCCCTATAATCCCTGAGGATACCAGGATGGGGAAAGCTGCTTAATTCGTGGCCACATTTAGACTGTAAGCTCCTCGGGACAGAGAACTGTCCTTTGTCCCTTTGTACCGCACTGTGCGCATTGAGGGCATCATCAGAACTTCTGTTTGAATATCCCAATGGATCAAGGTTTGAGGCTCCCCTCCGTTTCAGCCATGCTTGACCATGAATTCCCAGAGATATTCACAGACAGAGGTTCCACTTCAGAAAGACTCAGGCAAGGAGGTGAGGTGAAGGACCACTGCCTGCGGTCCTGGGAGCCGTTTCCAGTCAGCCCAGACATTCCCAGGATAGATGGACTAATAATTTAATATGCTTCAAGGCAGGCTCCTACAGTCCTACGTACAAAGATCTGTTGTCCATATTTCTACATTGTATAGCTATGAGTACAGATATAGACGAAATAATTCACATGCATTTAAAGCAGCAAGTCCTCCCATGCTAAGGAATCAATAAAACACTTTACAGCATGAAATCACACTTCAAGTTTTGTCATGCTGCCACTGAGTTGGGCCTCGGCCCTATGGCAAAAGACCAGAAATTCATTCAGCAAAGTCAGGGAGGGAGCGGGGGGGGGGGGAGAGTTATTAGTCCAGCAAAAAAGGGCAGTTCAAAGCAGGAGAAACCAACTGGCAAGCAAGAGCACAGCATGACCAGTCCAGTAAAAGAGCCAGTGTGGTGTAGTGGTTAAGAGCACGGGACTGGGACTCAGGCGATCCGGGTTCCAGTCCCCACTCGGCCATGGCATGGAGCCAACTGGGTGGCTTTGGGCCAGTCACAGACTCTCAGCCCAACGTACCTCACAGGGTTGTTGTTGTGGGGAGAAGATGGAGGAGGAGAATGATGTAAGCTGCCTTGAGCCCTTTGAAGAAAAAGGCAGGATATAAATCAAAAAATAAATAAACGGGCAGTCTGAACACACACTACACACCACCATGTGGGAGGGTGTAAATGGGTGTCCTGCAACAGCAGGGAGTTGGTCCCGCTGGCCTTCTTGGCCCCTTTGCTCGCTCCTGTTCTGTGATTCTGGGTGGTTCCACACACTGCAAGTCCATTGCTCCCAAGTAGCCCAGTGGCTGCCGCTCTTGAGATGAGCCCCAAGAGGTGTCCCATGTTCCCCAGGTTCTGAATCTGCCATATTGTGGGGCTAGGTGGGCGCTTGGTCTCCTCTCCTGACCCCATGGGCAAGGAATGGTCCCTGGGCCCTATATCGGGCTTCCTCAGGACCTCCGCCTCTCAAAGGGCCTGGTGTAACTCCTCACAGTTCCCAGAGGTGTCTGGAGTCTTTCTAGAGTCAGTTGGTCCCATAAGCTCTTCAGGCTCTGTCGGGTCTTAATTACTTCTAGGCTGGGTCAGGCATGGCAGGTCTGGATTTGTGGGGGGGGGGGGGGGGGGGTTTGCTCTGCTGTTCCAAGGACAGCTAGTCCAGCAATCAATGAAATTTGAAGGTGGAGCCAAAGTTCCTTAAGATGCCCAGCATTATGGAACTAGGGAGACATGAAAAGGAAGAAGGCGGGGATGAAGGTTTTAAAGCAAAGCTTGCAATATTGCGCGTGCTTAGAGAGGAGAAATGCTTTCTGCAACACAGATCAAGATTCTAAAGCCAGGGTTGCAGTTTTCTGAGGGGGGTGGCTGCTATAACTTGCAGAAGCAAAGTTATGGAATTTTTCCCCTTCTCTAAACATGCACAGGGTTGAACTTTGATTTGCATAAGCCACAAAGGAGGGCGGTTGCTCCTGCAACCAACCAAACAGCGAGGAAAAAGGGCAAACATAGGTTTAGGTTCACAATCACATAATAATCCAAAGATTGACCAGAGGCCACATTGCCTCAAAGCGATGCATGCAATGCATGCAATGGGTGGGCAAGTATTGGCAGTCTCTCCCTCCCTCCCTCCTACACACACACACACCCCTAAATGCATATGGTACATATGTTCAAGCTTCAGGAGGAGGGGGACACTGCTGTACACACGCCACCAGAAAGTCCTGCTACTGGGCCCAGTGGGTGCTCGGCAGGTCTCCGACTCTGGTGTTTACCTTGGGGTGGGGGAGCCTTGACGCATGGCCCCAGCCAGCCCACGTGCTGCACGCGCTCATCCAGCCCCTCACCTCCAGCCACCTCTCGCAAGTTCTCTGCAGAGCTCCTCAGAGCCAGGAGGTGCCCGGCAGCAGCCAGCAAGGCCTCCTTGTCTCAGGGAGCAAGATGGGCCGGGCCTGGCCTGGCCGGGCCTGCCCTGCATTCATGCCCATCCGTGCGCAGTTGCATACACGCGCCCAGGACACAACCACGTTGCCACAAACACCCCTCCGCTGGCGACACCTTCATGCTTCCACACAGCAACGAGGCAGGCGGCTCAAGCAGCGCATTCCTTGGGGGTCAGTTTATCAGGTGGGGTGAGGAACCTCGTTCAGCCCAAGCGGGATTCTGTTCTTGGGGGGGCCTGTTCCATAGGTGGGCAGTGCAGCTGGCCCAAGTAGTGGGGCCCCAAGCCAGAAATGCCGGCGCATTGTAGCTGGAGCCTCTTGCAGCCCCTCGGGCACTTCCCCCTTTTCGAAAGTGGTGGGACAACATTCCAAGGCTGGGCAGACACCCCGTGAGCAGGTCAAGCGGAAGGGGGGGGGGCAGCCAAAGGACAGGGGAAGTGCCCCGGGGGGCTCAGGGAGGAGCTGGGGGGTGATTTCCCCCACCCCTGTTCTGATGGCTTATAACAATAGCAGGGCATCCGGCACAGATCACACAACCAGTTTAAGCTGGAGCCGTGCCGTCTTCCCCAGCCCTCCGTGCTGCGCTGGAGCAGCTGGCATGCCCAGAGAGCCCCAGCTATTTTTCTAACATTATTTCCCAGCTGCCTTCAAGGGGAGACCCTGAGGGGATGATGGGTGTTGTAATCCAGTATGTCTGCAGGTTGCTGTATGAGGAGACTG